AAGTATCAGTATGTTTGTTACTCAGTGATTATGTTGTGCGCAAACGAATCATCGATATTTAGGTAAAAATTTGGATTGTACGCAAACGAGTTGCACCGCCCCTGTATAACTCCCACCCCACAACTGTAAATATTAATCTAACAATATAACAATACTTTGAGTCAATTACCTAATTAATGCCAGAACATTAGAGAAAAATTGAAGTTATTTACTGGACAGAACATTAGATGTTCACAGTCGGGGTTCACTAGGCACAGCATGTACTATTTATTATAGTATTTTTTATGATAAAATAAGAATAGTATAACTTATGTTGTTATGATAAATTAAAAAACAAATTTTCCTAGTTTGAATAGATGAATTTCTAAGAATGTACGACTTAAAGAATAAGAAATATAATAAAACTATTCACACATTTTAGTTTTTTCAAACCAATATACATTTACAATGTCGTTATTACATGTTATATATTAAGTGAGTTAGTCCAGCACCCCGAGATTCGAAAACGTCGATTTCGAGGGTAATTTTTGGGTTACAAATTCCGATTTTTGCGTTACAAATTGTTACAAATTAGGTACTAATTATCTAAAAAGGTTTGAGGTCGAAATTTTAAATTCGGGGTGCCAGGCTGACGTCAGCCCAGCACCCCGAAAAAATTACCCCTTTTTTCGGGGGTAAATCTTGTGTTACAAATTCTAATTTTTGCGTTACAAATTGTTACAAATTAGTTACTAATTATCTAAAAAGGTTTGAGGTCGAAATTTTGAATTCGGGGTGCCAGGCTGACGGACCTCAAAATTGTGTATGCCGGTTGCGACATGCGCGTTCCCAGAACTAATGAAACTATTTATAAATAATCTGGTGTAAATCCGTAGTCGACCACACCATAATGATATGATATTCAGAATATTCCTGATTGCCATATAATCAAATTGCCATACACCATAATATTGTCATCATCGGACGTCCATCACGAATGACAGAACTGTTTATATTAAGTGAATTGTGTTTGGTGGTTTTAATAATTATTTTTTAAATTATAAGCAGTTGTAAATTTTAAATTTTAACTTCCAAGTATGGAACCATTGTATCAGCCACCTACAAAAAAACCTCGTCTCTCAGGTGGGGCGAGAATAATTATGAAAGAAAAAGAAAAATCTGTAAAAGGAAATAAAAGTATTTTAACCTTTGTTCAATCATTTAAAAAACAAGGTAGTATTCTATTAATTATATAATATTATACTTATACTATATTATATTATTAAGTACTAGGTACCTATTGAGTAGTTAATATTTAACAATAGTTTTTCATTACCCATCAGGGATTTTTTTGTTTTAAACAATATGAGGACAAATATGAGTCTTAGAAACTAAAATTAATTCAGTAATTTAAGTTAATCATTGGTTATTTATTTTTATTAGATATATTTGATTATAAACTAATAATTTAAACAATAATTAAATAACATAAATAATAACTAGGTATGTTTTTTTTACCAGCACCTTTAATTTATAGGTATCATATTATAATAAATTAATTTATCTATATTTTAGATCAATCTACCACCTTAAATACTGAAAATAATACAGTATCAAAATATCAAATCCCAGTAGTTGTAACAAATTTAGACGAAGATAATGTTCCTAATATTCCTAATGAAATTGAAGGTAAATAAAATAAAATATTATAAATTTATTACAAATTAAGTAACATTTAATATAATTTTAAATTATATATATATATGAATATGAATATTATTTCTTTTGTATTCTCATTCCTTGTATCTAATTATTTTTTTATATAATATCCAAGTATTGAAGTATTTATTGCTTAAATAATATAAAATAAATGATATGTGTTTTAATTAAAGTACACTATAGCACATACATTCTATTCCTAATAGTGAACATTATTTTTTTGATTGTTTTAGAACAATTAGTGATACCACAGCACTTAAACTCAACCGACTCAGCTTATGATTCAGTACAGTCAATTTTGATAGACAAATCTGTAAAATATCCTTCAGATCCTGATTTATTCAAAGAAACAATTCTTTCAACACCCTGAATAAGAGCTCTTATAGAAATAGGGCCTTGCCAGCCAGGTATTGATGGAAAACATTTTATTTTTCCAAAAAATGAAAATGGTCAAAGCTTTCTTTTAAAATGGTATGATAAAATAACCAAGTCAAATTTTCCTTGTAAACGTAACTGGTTAGTTTATTCTCCAAGTAGCAATAAAATGTTCTGCTTTCCATGTTTTTTATTTCGTACTATTTCTCAACATCATTATCAGTGGTCTGATCCATCTAAAGGGGTTTCAAATTTTCGTAAGGGTCATGAAAAAATTGTTAAGCATGAGCAGTCAAATGAACACAAAACTGCTGAGAGAGAATATTTAATATTGAGAACACGAATTAAAAATGATAGTACTGTTGTGCATAATATAATTCTGGCAGGAAAAAAAGAATAAGAACATATTCGCAACGTTTTAAAACGATTAATTGATTTGTCATTATTTCTTGCCAAAAATGGTCTTCCATTTAGAGGTCATCGAGAAAATTTTAGTTATAAAACACCAAACCAAGGACTTTTTATCGAACTTGTTAAGTTAGTTTCAAAGTATGATGCTGTTTTAGCAAAACATCTTGCTGAATCAAATAAAAATGAAACTTATTTAAGTTATATGATTCAAAATGATATAATTAAATCTATGGCACACGAAACTGTTCAATTAATATTAAATGAAATAAAATTGGCCAAATATTTTACTATTATCATTGATTCAACTATAGATATAAATAAGAATGATCAATTTTCTCTTAGCTTAAGATTTGTTGACAAAGAAGGAAAGATAAGGGAACATTTCATTTGTTTTGAAGAATTACCAGGTGCCTCTGCTAATAATTACTTTAATATTCTTAATAAATGTATTGAAAAATATGATTTGGATTTTTCCATGTGCCGTGGCCAAGCTTATGATGGAGCAAGTACAATATCTGGCCGATTTAGTGGTTTACAATCAAGAGTAAAAGAGTTAAATCCTCTTGCAATGTACATTCATTGCTGTGCTCACAATTTAAATTTGGTCTTAATTGATTCCATTAGATCTTCCGTTGTTGCAATTTCATTTTTTGGTACATTAGAAACTTTATATAAATTTCTTACTGTCAGTTTACCCAGACTTCATATTTTAAAAAAAGAACAAGCAAAGGAAGTAGAAGGTGTAATATTGACATTAAAAAAGTTATCTGATACAAGATGGGCAAGTCATAAGCGAGCAGTAGATTCGGTATATAATAGTTTACCTGCAATTATCAAAACATTAAAACAAATAAGCAAAGGCAAATATCCAACACTAAATCAAAAACAGTTTCTGAAGCACAAGGTTTGCTTTTTCATGTAATGAAACTTAAATTTAGTTTTATGTTAGTTACGTGGAAAAATATATTAGGAAAAAATTATACATTATCTAATCATTTACAAAATACATCAATTGATTTAACAACTGCCTTTAATATGATAACTGCTTGTTCAGAAAATATTAAATCCATGAGGACAAATGAACATTTTTTAGAAATTCAAAAAAATGCAATCAAGTTGTGTGAAACATTTGATGGCGCCACAAAGTTTGATGAACAACGAAATAAAAAAATAAAACAATTTTTTGATGAAATGGGTGTAGATGATAATTTGAATAAATCAGCTGATCTAAATTTTAAAATTCATACATACTTTGTTATTTTAAATTCATTTGTAAATGTTTTAAATCACAGATTTGAAGATTTTTCTAATACTGTACAAAAATTTGAATGTCTTGATCCGAAGAAGTATTTTTTTAAAAAAAAAGTTAATGAGAAATCTATTAATCAACTTAAAAAACTTTCTGACATTTACCAAATTGATATTGATCAAGATGATCTCATTTTAGAATATGAATCATTTTCCTCTGTTTACTATCATTTAAATAAGGACTGTGAAGATATTTCAACAAATGAGGTTTTAAAATTTAAGATAACCAACGATATGATTTCTTCTTACCCAAATTTATCCACTCTGTATAAAATTTTTTATACACTGCCTGTGAGTAGTGCTACAGCTGAAAGAAGTTTTAGTCGGCTTAAGTTAATTAAGACATTTCTGCGATCCACAATAACTGAAGAAAAATTATCTAACCTTGCGATACTGAGTGTTGAAAACTGTACAGCTGATAAAATTGATTTTGATAAAGTCATTGAAACCTTTGCTCAAATGAAAAAAAGAAGAAAACTATTATAATCTATATACCTAATAAAATAAATACACTTACAGTATATGGCATTATTTTTGTTTTGTTTTTTTTATTGCACACAAGTATAGATTTTTAGTTAAGTCTTAACCTTAATAAGTGGCCTCTTGTTATGGCCTGACCCACAGTTGGAAAACTGTGGATCCGCCCCTGGGGAGAGGTACATTATTATTTCACAGACTGTCGTTTAGAACGTTTCGCGTCAAACGTCATTACAAGCCGTTACGTAAATTGTCGCCCGTGAATTCTATATGGTGCGCTGACTCGCTACTAGCTCGCAAGTCGCAAACCTATTTTTTAATTAAAGCTCCTGTTTGCTTAAAAATATTAACCAATAAATTAAGCATACAAATTATCATACACCAGAACTCGATTTATATTTCTAACCCAATTACTTTTTAAAATACATGTAAAATAATAATTTCATTACGATTAAATAGATTTTTTAGTAAAAGTGTTACGTATTTTACGTTGTAACTTATAAATAACATGAAGCAATTTTTGTTCGATAATTTAATTTTTTATTTATTAATAACATTTTAAATAGTTCTGATTAGTAAATATTGATGTATTTACTTATTTTAATTTTAAACATAATACCTACATAAAATATGAAGTTGATTGTTGTACATAATATTTATTAAATAAATACCTACTGTAATAATATAATTATTTATATTATTGCAATTGCAGTACCTATATGTAAAAAAAAACAATATGTATAAACTAAAAATTTTTATTGTTCATATAATATATATAAATTTAAATTAAATTATGTAGGTACTTACAAATGTACAGAACACATTTATTTATACATAATAATTAATTAAAACACAACATTTGGATTAATGACAATTTATAATAATTTATAACTTAAATTAATGCTAGCGTTCATATAGATAATGGATAACTGACTTACTATAATATTATATTACACCTATACTTTAATTTTAAAAATGTCATAATATGTACGTGAAATTATCTATATAAAATTTGCATAGTTATGTGTACAATAATAAAATGAAATATAATACATAACATTATGCAATTAACATTTTATGTATTTATTTTGCGTTGTAATAAAAAAAAAACCAACTGTAACAATATTTATAGTTCTATATAAAATTAATTTTTATACAAACTAAATAATTTAATATATTAATAAATACATATGATACAAATATTTTTAAATAAAAATGGGTACAAAAATTTTTTTTTTTTAATTTTGACGGTTTTAAACCATTTCAAACGGAAGATTTGGATAAATATTGGTTTTATTATTATAACACCGAACATTTTTTCTTTCCAAAGAGTCATCATCAAACTCTTGATTTTTATTGTATTTTTGTTTATGAGACCGGAGTATTAAGTTATGTGTAATGCTAGAAAAAAATCCTGCTAAAAGCTTTGTACTCCACCCAAAGGTTTGATATAAAAAAATTATATTAATACCTGTGTCAACAATAGTTAATACTAATTTTGCAACAAAGAATATTCCCATTAGCCCAGATACAAAAGTTCCAATTGTCGTAAACCAACCTCATATTTTAAATAACTTATCTTCTACCATTTTTCCAAGCGTGTTTTCATCTATCAAATATTTTAATTGCAGACCTTGGTTAGTGGTATCATATCCCATGGATTGTCTGATTATATTATTCGTAGCAGCTTTCACTTCTTGCGGGAACAATATATTCTGTTGGAAAGCTTTCATTGTATCCTGCGTATATATACCGGCATTCATGAGAAATTCCGGACTTTTATACGACCATGTCCAGGACATGGCCGGTTTAAGCCTTTGTGGTTTTTTAATTTCTTGTATGTTTGGCAGAACGGCAAACCAATCACCGCCCAATTTTAACGCAGGTGGTAAAAGCACATTGCAGTACACCCGTGTTCCAAATTGCTGTAAAATTTGGGTTTTGGGCGCCATAAATAATGTTTTATTATTATATAATACTGGCGGTTCATTAAAACAATTTTTTTTTTTTTTGTGAAATTTCTACGTTGACTTTTTTACATTTTATCAAGTAGATAATTTCACTGACTTTTATTGCGGTAAACCCTGATCCGCCGCCCATTAAATATGCAAATTCTGAAAGACTAGAAGATGCTAATGTGAGTCGTTGCTCAAGTAATTTTCTGTCTAACTCACATTGTTTAAGTAGTATATCATTCGCTCCGTGACTGTTGTCCGCAACACACGTATCAGTTATACATGCACGCAGTTTCTTTTGTTTCTCAAGTCTTACCCAACCAAATTAATTGTGAATGGTGTCAAAAAAATCCGGATATCGGCCAGTGTATCCCATTTCCGTCATTGCCACGGAATTTCAACCTCTCAAACCCTCATCACTCAAAAACTGGTAATTATAATTGCTATACTCGTAGGCCTATTCGGTTCTACGTAGTTAACGGTCGTCCGCGCTCCCCGGCGTTGCCGGCGGCAGCTATAGATAATTATATAAACTGTAGATAAACCTATCCCAAATCGCGATAACATCAATACGCACAATGAACCTTAATAATAATGTAATTACTACTGATTCGAAAAATAAAACCTCAAATAGAAATAAAACTAATTCCGCGTCCAGTCGTATACAGAGTGCATCAAGTGATGTGTTCGATAATTATGACATGGACATAGACGATACCGTAAAAAAGTCTAATAAATCCGGTAGGATTATTTCATCCTCTGACGAACTTTTCACAAGCAAAATAGCTAAGACGACCCAAAAAAGTATATTCTCAACTACAAATAGATACTCCTGCCTTGCTGTTGATGACAACCCAGAGATAACGTTCCCATCCCAGATTCTATCAAACGAAGCATCAGACGATATCAGTGAATCCGTCAAACCTCCACCACCTCCACCACCAATTATGGTTCAAGGGGTACTTGATTTTGTTGCGCTTCGCAACGATTTTATCAAACTGCTCGGTGCAGAAAATTTCTTATTCAAATCATCCACTAAAGATTTAAAAATCCTCACTAAAAACTCCGACTCTTATAGAGCTGTGATAAAGTATTTAAATGCAAATAAAGCAGAATACCACACCTATCAACAACGCGAAAACAAAGCTTTTCGTGTTGTTATACGTAATATCCATCCTTCCACCCCATTAAGTGAGATTGGAATCGCAGTTCAAGAAATTGGCTACACAGTGCGTCAAGTTTCTAATGTCCGTGACAAAATAACAAAAAAAAATTTGCTTCTCTTCTTTGTCGATCTGGAACCAGCTGAGATCAACAAAGATATATTCCACGTAACATCCATTCTTCACACAAAGTTCGAATCGCAGAACCATATAAACGTCGGGAAGTAATTCAATGTCAAAACTGCCAGAAATATGGCCACTCCAAAAGCTATTGCTCACACCCACCTCGCTGCGTCCGCTGCGCTGAACTTCACACATCTTCATCTTGCACCAAATCCATAGATCAACCTCCAACGTGCGCTCTCTGTGGAGGAAGTCATCCGGCAAATTACCGTGGATGTACCGTTCACAAAGACCTTCAGAAATTTCACAATAATTCCAAAGCCACAACTAAACAAAATGTTAATTTAAATTATAATGTACAGAGGGGTAAAACCACTAGCGATGGAACACTCTCTGGTCAACCTAATCTCAACTTAAATAATACTAAGGAATTCCCAAGCCTTCCGACAAACGTATCTCACCCACAAGATAGCAATGACAAACCAAATTACTACAAAAAAAATCATTTCAATTCAAATATGTTTAATACTCAACCCGATAACAATCTAACCTCTCAATTTTCCTCATTCTTATCAGAATTAAAATTAGTGATAAATCCTTTAATCCAACTTCTCACTGCTGTTATAAATAAACTAATCCTAAAAGATGTTAAATAGACAAGCGAACGTAAACTCCCTTAGAATTTTTCTTTGGAACGCAAACGGTCTTAAACGTCATGAACCTGAACTGCTCAACCTATTCACAGAAAAACATATAAACATTGCACTTATCTCAGAAACTCACTTCACTTCCAATTCTAAAAATTTTTTCCCCGGGTACAACATTTATCGAACCGACCACCCTGATGGCTCTGCCCATGGGGGCTCGGCCATTATAATTTCAAAAAAAATACAATGCCAACCGTTACCTAATCACAAAACTAACACTATTCAAGCTACAAACATCTCAATTACTCTTAATCATATTCCCACAACTATATCCGCAGTTTATTGTCCTCCAAGGCCTGCAATATCATCTGAACAGCTCTCCCAATTTCTGAACTCACTTGGCCGCTCATTTCTTATAGGCGGTGACTTTAATGCCAAACACTCGCAATGGGGCTGTCGGACCGATAACACTAGGGGTCGGTTGCTTCAAAATATTATACTGAACACAAGAATTACATTTATTTCTCCTCCGGGACCTACTTACTGGCCTTCCCACCAAAACCGGCACCCCGATATTTTAGATTATTTCCTCACTACAATCCCAAGACACATTACTCATTCCATAGTAAATCTAGCAGATCCAACATGTGACCACAGTCCAGTTCTTTTCAATCTGAATTGTGAGATTAACTACAATCCTCCCCGTCTTTCCTTAGCGAAAGGACCAGTCAATTGGAGTTCCTTTTCAAAAATTCTAGAAAATGCCACTAACCTTAAAATCTCACTCAAGTCAACCGACCAAATCGATGAAGCAGCGCAAAACCTAACGACCTCAATTCAAACCGCCGTTTTTAAAGCATCGTATGTCACAAATACACCTGACAACTCAAAACATAATATTCTTCCTCCCCAAATCCAAAAATTAATAGTTAAAAAAAGAAGGGTTCGCTCATTGTGGCAAAGATCCAACCTGCCTTCTGATAAACGATTATTAAATAATCTATCAAATTTGATCAAAAAACTCATTATAAAACACAAATCCAACTTTTTCCAAGAAAAATTTCAATCCCTAAATTCTAATGACGGTTCTCTATGGAGAACTACCAAAAATATTCTCAAAATCAAAGAACAAGCTGCACCGCTCAATGGTCCAAATGGAGAACTAGCGATCTCTGACAAAGATAAAACTGAACTTTTTGGAACCCATCTCTCAAATATATTTACGCCACACTCTAATATTAATCCTGAATCTACACACCTCGACAACGTTGCCAGATTTCATGATAGTCCTTTATCAATGTCTCTCCCAGCAAAACACACAACACCAAATGAAATCAAACACTTAATTAGCAAACTAAAGCCAAGGAAGTCACCTGGATACGACTTAATTACAAATAAAATATTACAACACTTACCCAATAAAACTCTATTACTTCTCACATTTATTTATAATTCCATGTTAAGACTCTCTCACTTCCCTCAAATCTGGAAATTTTCTATAGTAATACTTATACATAAACCTGATAAACCCAAACACCTACCGTCATCCTATAGACCTATAAGTCTACTACCAGTTTTAGCTAAACTTTTCGAGAAAATTATCATCAAAAGAATTAGACCACTCATTCATTCAAACAATATAATACCCCATACACAATTTGGTTTCAGGACATCTCACTCGACAATACATCAAATACACAGAATTACTGATAAAATTCAAACTTCATTCGAAAATAAAGAATACTGCCCAGGAGTTTTTTTAGATGTGGCCCAAGCCTTTGATAGGGTTTGGCACGATGGCCTCCTATACAAGTTAAAATTATTTCTCCCAGCTCCTTACTATCTAATAATCCAATCCTACCTCTATGATCGTACATTTGCAGTTCGACAGGGCTACTCAATATCCTCCCACTTTTAAATCTCTGCCGGTGTTCCACAAGGAAGTGACTTATCACCCGATTTATTTAACATATATACGTCAGACATCCCAAAAACAGCAAACACAACCTTAGCAACTTATGCAGATGATACAGCTATACTCTCCTCCAATTCAGACCCTATTTTGTCTTCAAACTATCTCCAAGATCACCTTAATTTAATAAACACCTGGGCAACCAAATGGAAAATTTTAATAAATCCCGATAAATCTTTCCAAGTGCCATTTACATTACGTAAACACAACCTCCCCTCGCTCCAACTTCAAGGAATCAGATTCCTTCATCGAATCAGGTAAAATACTTGGGAATTTTACTAGACAAAAGATTGACATGGGGACCTCATCTAAAGTCCAAACGTAAAATCATTAACTACCGACTTCATCTGCTCAGACCGATTCTTAAATCCAAACTATCAATACACACAAAGTCCACATTGTACAAATCTCTACTTGGACCTATCTGGGCGTACGGTATGCAAATCTGGGGATGTGCCAAACCTTCCCAAGTCTATACTATCCAATCTTCACACTCCATCACTCTCCGGCTAATAACCTCGGCCCCATGGTACGTAACAAATGATACCCTACACAATGATTTAAGAATCCCAAAAGTCGACCAACTAGCTAAATTATACTATAACAGATTTCACTCCAAACTGCAACACCATCCCAATCCTTTAGTCACTCACCTAGCATCACGTACTCTTCCTGACAACCCACCACGCCGA